CTAATCTTCGGCACATATCCCTGCGTTATTGATTAGGATAAATTTAATTCCAGTTTGGTACATCTACGAACCAGTCGGTACCTATGGATACCAATCGGTACCTAGAGGTACCGACTGGTACCGAGAGGTACCAAGTAGTTCCGAGAGGTACCGAGTGGTACCGAGCGAAACCAGGAAAAAATTTACAATACAACTCGCACCGACGAGAGTCCGTGGAATGCGATAAAATAAAGAATAAACTCTAACAACAAACCCTAGATCTACAATGACTTGTACAACTTAGAATGCTTACAGAAATATCCCAGCTTAATCTGGTAGGTACCGCTGAGTACACATTCGGATAACGCAGCGAAACCCACCGGTACCCAACGATACCGAGCAGTACATTTTGTCACACAACTTAACGGGCAAATGGCATTCACAACATCATTCAAACCAAACCCTAAAAGCTCAAAAATATCGAAAAATGCATAAAACTTAAGAAAATCAAACCTTTCCCATTGCCACGATGAAGCTCAGCAGGCTTAGCGTAGAAGATGAAGTTGCTTCGTTCGAAAAATACAACCTTCAACTTCTCCTTCTGGAAGATGGACTGTAGTCTAGCAAATCGCCCGAAAAAGAAAGAAGGAAGTGACGTTTCGGATGTTCTCGAAGATATGGGTACCGTGCATTTTTTGAAGTAGTTCGGATGGTTCGTGTCGTGTTATCGGGTTAACAGAGCACACGATCTCCTCATTACGGTGGAGTCAAGGTGGGCTCCACGTGGCGCAAAACTACTTATTTACATACACAGAGCTATGTCCGCACTCCGAACCCAATAAAAGTTCCCTATATATCTTATCTTTAAATTTTTTTGAAGACAACGTTGGGAATTGCATTTATTGGCCCGGAAGAAATTTTGGTAAAACACTTATTGGCCGAAATATCGGTCAATGACGTCCTAACTATCACCATCGTTAATTCCAAGGGTCTTCTCATCCTTTTAATGTCTTCTTCTCCCCACTCAAAGCTCAGGTAAGTCAGATCCTCCATTCAGTCTCTCTTAATCGCTGCGATCCGAATGGTGCTTGAGATGGAGTCGATGGCAACGGCAATCGGCGTCTCCGTGCCGGTGCTCCGCTTTCTGTTATGCTTCGTGGCCACGATTCCGGTGAGCTTTGCATGGCGGTTTATGCCGGGCCCGGCGGCGAAGCACCTGTACGCCGCTGCATCCGGGGCTTTCCTTTCCTACCTCTCCTTCGGAGCCACTTCCAATCTTCTCTTCATCTTTCCAATGACGTTTGGATACACTTCCATGCTCCTCCTCCGACGCTATGCTGGCATATTCACCTTCTTTGCCGGATTTGCTTACCTCGTTTCATGGTAATTATTTAAATTCTCTCATTTTTCTCTACCCTATCCAAATGGGGTACGGTTTTAGCATTGGTTTGTTTCTTATCTGGTAATTTATGCTAGTTTATTGAGTATTTTTCGTTTATTTCCATTTGGGGCGTCGCTAATTTTTATTGTTATATTATCTTAATAAGTTGACGGGTTTGACCTTAATAGATCTCGCGTTTTTTTGTGCTGGGAACGTTTCATTTCTCGAGATTATTTGTCTGAATAATTCCATATAGTGTTATCTTTTATGGTTAGTGCTTTTTACTTGTTTTTGTTTTCTTATATCTTCTACATTGTCTCAAGTGGAAAGTTTGTTTAGAGAAAGACGTTATCTTAGATGTTTTGTATTATAGGTGTTGGATTCAACTTTATAGATTAAACAAGCTAGAATAAGTCACCTGACCCTACTAATAGATTAAGCAAGGTAGAATAAGAAAGCATGGTGAGAAGCTAGAATAAGATACTTGACCCTACTAATAGATTAAGCAAGCTGGAATAGGAAAATATGGTGAGGGAATTAAGAGTAGGTGAGAAGCTAAATGATCTTTGTGAATAATAAAAATAGCATGAAGTCCAAAATATGATCCCTTATATGTTAAGATAGGTATAGGAAATGATACACTTAGGAAAATAGAAAAATGATACATGAAATGGCACGTACAAAGTGATACAAACACATGGATTGGGTTGAAAGGTAGTGCATGGCTCTCCACCTCTGTTGTGGATTGAGATGCCCGTGAGGAGTCCTCAGGGTGAGTCCTTGGGGGGCGAGTGCCTTGACCAAGTCTTCATGAATAAGTGCCAAGTCTTCAAGATTAAGTAATTTGAGCAGGTGAGCCTCCCCCCCGCTCCCTTGGATGAGTGACGACTACGAGTCCCTTAAGACGAGTCATGAGTCTCCTAGGTGAGTGTGGCTGTGAGATGAGGACAAACATCACCGATTGAGTTATATGATGATGGGCTTTGTAAGTATGCATCCTGTAGCTTGGATAGTGATATCCATGGAAGATGAATTTCCTAACTAGGGTAAGTTTCCAAGAAGACAAGCCCTCCTATGGCTAGTGCCTCCTTTTTTATATTGAAATTAGGGCCAATGCCTCTTAGGGTGAACATTAGTTGAAGTCAGTCCCTTAGCTGAACTTACCAAGAAGAGGCACATCTTTAATTTGATCCTTCAGAGGTGAGTTGATATGCTGTGAACTCCACTAGGATGAATACTTGCATAAACATATGCTAGTTCTAGTGACAGCCCCTCAAAGCGAGACTTCTTTTGGGTGAGCGTTTGTCTTGGCTCCATGTCTCAAGTGTGAACTTGTTTGAGTACTTGCAAGTTAGTTATCTGGATATATGTGGACATACATTTAGTACATGAGTCACTTGCTCCTTTAAAGAAAGACTTGTGAAAAAGGACGAGATTTAAGCAGAAAAGCATTTATTTTCTTCACCAAACGAGAAAGAGAAAATAAATAACAATTATTTTATTGCTTTTACTATTCCCTTAGGAAGAGCACCTATTTCGCATAATAACATTGATTTCACCTGTATATTGTCTTTGGTTATAAATAACAACTAAGGGTATTGATATGGATACACTCCTTTCTTTTCTTTTTCCTTGATTGGATCTTTATAGCTTGTGTGAGAGATGATTGAGTTGAGCCTTGTAAATAGGGGTGTTAATAAATGACCTGAATATGGATTTCAATAAATGATCTGACCCGTTAGCCCGACCTGAACTCGATTCGAGAATGACCCGTTTAACAAACAGGTCGGGTTCGGGTCATACATTACGACCTATTTATTAAACGAGTGGGTTTGGGTTGACCCACTGACTCGATTGACTTGAAAATGAGCTACTTAACATTTATTCCTTAAATTCTTTTCTTTATTGATAATATTTTTATTTTAATAAATTAACCTAAAATTATGATTAATAAGTTAATAAAAATATATATATTTTTAAATTAAACATGGGTTAGGGTTTGGTTCAACTTTTTTGACCTATTTATTAAATGGGTTAGATTCGAGTAGATCGGATTTGGGTTGGGTCAATTCCAGGTTGGAGCTGATCCCTTTTAGACACCCCTACCTTCGAAGTATGTTAATATTAATAGTTGATTATTGCGAAAACCTTTATTCACTAATGCAAGATGGTGGAGGTTGAAGGTTTGAAGTCCAACCAAGTTATTGCGAATAAGAAGAAAAGCCGAAAGTCGTTGAGATGCGTAAGGTGACAAAGGGCAAGCCAAATAAGGCAGCAGAAGTCGAGCCAAGTAAGGTGGTTGTAGTCTCTTCTCCGAGTTTTGATGATGTGCCTTTTGATGAAAGGCCTGTTAGATGAATCTTTTCATTTGAGGAAGCTCGTGAAGTCCTCGCTGTGGTGAGTGTCGTTCATGAGATTGCGATCTATACTCCCAAGGAGGTTGGAATAACAACACCTACTCACTCTTGGGGGGACTGGTGGCCACAATACCATGCTGAAGGTTGAGTTATGCGATTGCGAGTGACTAGTGGAGGTAATGATTCTTTTTTTATTTCTGAGAAAGTTATATTTGGGGTCCATGTGTAAGTGATATTGAGTAAGCCTAGGATCCACCTGAACCTATGCGAGTTGTTAGGTCACCCGTTGAATGAGTTCAATGCGCCAACCCTAACTTAGTGGGTGCTTGGCTTATATGCAAGAATTTGGGATCTTTATGATTGGCTACTTCAGGGTTCCCCTTAGTTTACTGGAGAAAGAATATACTCTTTTCGATCCTTCACTTCATATGACTAGGGCGACTCCAGAGGTGTAGGAAACTAAAGTCTACATATGAAAATTTATGTGATCCTCCCCTATGGCAAAGACCATTGAGCTCATGGAGGCTACGCTTGCTAGGAAGAATACGTTAAACTCTCATGCATAGGAACTTCCCATCGCTTCTACTTTGCTGACCCTAGCAATTCTCAAGTTTCACCGTCCGACTAGTTGCCAAGATGTCAATGACATCGGTGCTACCAAGACTAATTGGTTTAACCAACCAGTTCAACAATCAGCCTGATTTGGATTTTTATTTTTTTTTCTATTTAGTCTATTTTATGTAATTTCTATTTCTTTATTTGTTTCCCTCCTAAAAGGGGTCCATGGGATATTTGTTCAATAAATGGGCCTCTACCTCAAAAGCAACTTGACTATGTAATGGATCGACTGAGCCTTTGGGCCGCACTAGGGCGGGCAATAGGCAAGATGAGCAAAAGGGATTAATTCTACATTTTATTACTTACCATAAAAAACTAAAATTAGGAGGAATTTAGAAAGGTTTATTTAGGGAAAGAAAACCAGTGGAAGTACCTTTGGTTTCTACTGATGTGGGTATTTTTGAAGATGGAAATGTTGAGGCTGAGACACAAGATGTAGCTTATACAAAGTCTAAAAGAACAAAGTTGACATTGAATTGATTAAGCTGGAAGATTCAAAGGATGAAATTCAGGTGTTAGTTCTTGCTGAAATTCTCACTGTAGTTGTTCATGATACTTATGAAGCACCAACAAACAATGACATTGATTCAAGTAGTCTTACCAGTATAGAGAAACCTGTGAAAAATCCAGATGTTGAATTTGGCTCTCTTGAAGAACAAAAATCTAATGAGGATATAGAAACTAAATAGCCAATTTCATAGGTCCCCTCACCTCAACACTTGATCACAAACTTGCCCAAACCTATTTGTTAACTCGACGCCATCGAACTCGCCCCGAAGGTAAATCATCACAAGGCCATTCAACCTTGCCCTCCTACAACCAATCATAGGATGACATGTATCCAGGGTAGTCTGTGTAGTATTGTATGGGTGTTTCGTGTAGCCTTATATTTTACATTTTTGGTATAGCCGACCTGTCATTGATGGATTCTAAGTCCTGGATGAAGAGTGGAGAGTTGTGTTAGGTAGTCGATAGCCAACGTAAAACTTATCGAATAATCATGACATGAATCCTTTAATACATTGTGTTAATGCTAGGATATTTCTTGGAAGCGACATACTATATGACCTTAATATAGTGAGAAGTATGCAAAGGCCGTTGCACTGACGCTCAGATATAGTGTTAAATAGGCAAGGGTTCATACATCACGAACGGATGTGGGCAAAAACGTTAGTCCATAAAACTAGAATTAATATAAGAACTTGGAATATGGATTCTCTTATATGCAAGTTAATGGAATTAATAAATATTCTAAATTCATAGGCATATAAATATTCTATGCATTCAGAAAATCAAATGGGTTGGATTGAATGCTAAGGAGATTAATAGTTAATGATTTAAAATATGGTATTATGGTAAGAGTTGTATTAAAAATGATAGGTGTGATTTTAGATAAAAGTTTGAAGCATAATGCTATATAAATTAATAGAATTGAAGATAGAATTATAACTTTAAAGATTGTTGTTGATGTTAAGATTATTAATATTATAAGTGCTTATACTTCTTAAGTAAGTTTGTATATGTGTTCAAAATTAAAAAGTTTGGAGTGACTTAGAAAAATTAATACAAAAGATATCTAATGAAGAAAGAGTTTTTATTAGAAGAAATTTAAATGGACATGCTGGTAGAGAGGTAGAAGATTTTAAAAGCTTTTATGATGGTTATGGGTTTGGAGCGACTAATAAAGATGGTAAGACAATATTAATTTTTTTTTAGTTTATAATTTTATAATTGCTAACACCTTATTTAAGAAAAAAGAGGAAAATTTCATTACTTATAAGAATAGATGTAGGAAAACTCAGATTGATTATTTTCTTACAAGAATAATAGATCATTTAGATTGTAAATTTAATATGAGTGAAAATTAATGCACCCAACATCACTTATTATTTTTGAATTTTAAGATGAAGGGGTAAATTATGAAAAATAAAGTAAAATATTATCCTAGGATAAGATGGGGTCATTTAAAGAATACTAATAATTTTTTTTTTCTTAGAGTAAGATTCAAGATCTTAAGATTTTGACTA